TCCCAATAGCAAGAGCATGTAGATTTATATGCCGCTTCCCCCTGCTTTCCAGCCCTCTTACAGAGATTGTTGTCCTCAACAATCTGGGTCCCCATTTGGCCAACCTGGGAAGGATGGAAGGCTGAGTCAATCTTGAGGCTCCCCAGGATCGAACTCCTGACTGTGGGCAGAGGTTCGAATCCTGCACTCTAATCACTGTCTCCCCACAGTTCCTGGGATCCACTGGAGATCCACGATGGTGGGATCTCTCATGAGAGAGGCAGCATGAATCCACCCCAGAGTCCCTCTGGGAATAGGGGCGGCATAGAAACGCAATAAATCCAATCAAATCCAATCTCTTTATGCCGGTGCACTGAGCGTCCTTCCCTCCTTTCTTCCAGCCGTCCAACTGGAAGGAAATAGTCAACAAGAAGCTGAAGTTCCCCGAGGGTCTCCTGGCTGCCATCCAAGATGGGCAGCTGGTTAAGATCCAGCAGATGCTGCACGTCAGCGACGGGATCTTGCGGCAGCTGGACGAAAGCGAGGACCGGGCCTGGCGCGAGGCGCTCAACTTGGCCATCCGCACAGGGGGGGTGGAGATCACCAAGACCCTCTTGCGCTTCGTGAAGTTCGACTTCCGGCAGGTCCACGAGGCCCTCCTGGTGGCCGTGGACACCAACCAGCCCAGCGTGGTCAAGCAGCTCCTGGACCGGCTGGACCAAGAGAAAGGCATGAAGATGGACATCAAGTCCTTCTCCATGGCCTTCTTCGACAACTCCATCGATAACTCCCGTTTCGCCCCCGGGGTGACCCCGCTCACCTTGGCTTGCGAGAAGGACCTCTACGAGATCGTGGACATGCTGATGAAGAAGGGCCACACCATTTCCCCGCCGCACAAGGTCTCCTGCGCCTGCCTGGATTGCTCCAACGGGCGGAAGTTTGACCTGCTCAAGTTCTCGCTCTCCCGCATCAACACCTACAAGGGCATCGCCAGCCGGGCCTACCTCTCCATCGCCAGCGAGGACCCCATGCTGACCGCCTTCAAACGCAGCCGGGAGCTCAAGTGGCTCTCCAAGAAGGAACCGGAGTTCAAGGTCTCTCTCTCTCTGTCGGGGTTCCAAATAGCATCCAAAAGTAAATCAGAGTCCGAGGCAAAATGTCCCACTTTATGAGCCATGTTGGCAGAATCTGGGAAAACCCGAATCTGAAAGCTTCCCGGATTTCCCCACCCAGTTGAAAGTCCAAGGTCTTGCCCCCACACCCACAAGT